AACCGTGTGTATGATGGTTTCAAAACTATGTTGCTTTCGTTACAAAATTTGAACTTTGGGTTGTAATAACTTTATTCGTACTCTGATGTATGTTGGACTACCTGTGAACTTTATGTAACATGTGACATGTATGTTGAATCATGTACGATCTTGGTTTATATTTTGGTCATGATTCGAGGTCCTTCGCGACACTCGACGGACTACCAGGTTTATATGGGCTCAAGTATGATAGTGCAACCGCCCCGGTAGTTGCTATTGTACTTGTGCTTTTATAAATTGGTCGGTTCTATGACACCGCGCGGCGGCGTGTGAACCCGGCGAGGTCGAAGAGGAGCTCGGAGACCTGGACGGGCGTGACAGGGATCTTGGGCGTGGGGATGCGCTCAACACCGTGGGAGCGGTTGGCGACGCACCAGTCCTGGATGACGCGGACATTGCATGGTTGGGGACGAGGTCCTCATGGCGGAGCGGCGCGTGGGTGACGGGGTAGGTGGCGTAGCCTGTGTCCAGCCATGCCTCGATGCTCTCACGGTCGTACGTGATCCCCATTGGCGCAGTGACGGGTTCCTGCATGAGGTCCAGCGAGATCGGGCACCGGTAGTGGTAGTCGCGCGGGATCATAAGCTCCCACGCTGCCATCACTGCCGCCGCCGAGTGACCTCCGTGCCCTCCCACTGCAAAGCAGCCGCCATCGAAACGAGCAACCAGCGGAAGGTAGCTATAAGAGCTGGATTTCGATGATGAGTTATCAGAGACGATGACGAGGGAGGCATGCTGGATTGGTCTCTTGGTGGGTGAGGTGTGAAGAGTTCAATGCGAAGACTGGGTTGGGGCCAGGAGGAGGGCAGGTTCAAATAGGGAGGGAAGGCTGGAGCTACGTGGTGATGGCGGGAGGTTGAAGAAGGAACTGACATGTGGGGCCCACATGTGAGCGAGTGGAGGGAGAAAAAGAAAAGGGGTAAATAGGTCTTTTCACATGCTAAGTTGGGGCTGGCAGGGTCACTGCCACGCTGGCGTGCCACATCAGCAAAAGTGGCAAAAGTGAAGGAGGTTCACTGTTTGTGATGGCAATTGTGTAGAAGCGTATACAAAACTGGTAAACGAATGAGTGACATCCTTAAGGACAGCAAAAAGTTAAAAATCCCGAGTAGACAAGGAAGAGTTGGTTGAAGGTATCAACACTATGCTGAAGATTGCTGCGAAGCTGGTGAGCAAGAAGAAGAAGACCGATGAGACCAAGCTGCTGGAGGACAACCACAACAACAGTAATGCAAGCTGAGAAGAGACAAGTGAATCTGGAGCTGGGGTCATTATGGACGCTGTAGCAGTTATTTGCATTTGTCTGTAACTGCTTGGTAAGTCTCTCTTTTTGCCTGTTTGTTGCTTCTGGATGTCTTGTTTACTGTACTGTCTAAAGCCCGATACTTGGGGTTGATGGGTAAGAACTGGGTAGCCTAGTAATGAGGGTAGTATCTCTACTTTCTGCAACTCTCTATGTTCCGTCACTCTGATCAACCTCTTGGAACATTGTATTTCCGTTATGTCTTTAATGGAAATGGGGAATCTCCCCCGGTTCAAAAAAAAAAAGATTCAGGAAGCAATTCATATTAACCTCTCACGAGCACAAAATAATCAAGACCCAATTATATGCCCTCTTGGAATAGTGTTTTCAGCAGTTGTCTAAAACAGGTGGCCTACCTCACACTCACAAAGCTGCAAGCTACAAACTGAGATGGAGAACATAGACAACACAGAGCAGTCCTTATGAATCTGTATATGGAGCTGTCAAGCATAGCAATATTCTATTCAATAGACTAAATATATGATTACAGTGAAAAAAGAGAGAAATCCAGCATCATGCATACGAACCAGAGTATTAGATATATAGCTCATGACTCTTAAATCCTACACAGTATTTCTGGAACTCCAGTCTCTCAAGCAGAGTTATAACTAGCTGAAACAATGGATAATGAATAATAGAAAGTTTAGTGCAAACATGACAAGTAGCTGAAATAGCAAAAATGGCCGTGGCGAGTGAAGGAGAGGAAGATGAGAGATGGAGGTGGCGAGCAGAGGAAGAGGAGATGAAAGATGGCGGTGGTGAGCGGAGGTAGAGGAGATGAAAGATGGTTGTGGCAGGCAAAGGAGAAGGGGGGGACCGGCGGGCGGCGAGGCGAGATGTCGTGGGGAAAGGAGGCGAGAGAGAGAGAGAGAGAGAGAGAGAGAGAGAGAGGATGGGAACGGGTGACGGGTCTGGGGGCGCGGTCAGACAGGAGGGTCCGAGTCGGACCAGCGGATTTCGGACTTCACTCCTCAAGTTACCATGTTTGATAATTTTTTCGGGTCCAACATCTTTTAGGAGTGACGCCTTTTGGGCCAACGAGTCTCTCTTAAGAGCTCCTGTTATCAGCGACACATTTAGTTACAAAGAGTTTGTGATAACTCATCATTAGTGACGTGTTTTGTTTCCGAACCATGGGCGACACCTTACCAGTAACGTGTTTTGTTTACCCACGTCACTATATTAAATTAGTGACGTGTTTTAATTCCGTATCACTGATTAAGGTGTCTCCTTTGTGCTGTTTTGGCATAGTGAGTTTCACTATGCCAAGACAACTCAATTGATTATCCATATAATGTATTGGGTTTTTTCCTTTACACATACAAAATTCATAGTTTCAAAATATTAAGAGGCTTAACTACACACTATGGACCTACTCTTTGTCCTATAATATAATGCATTCTAAAAATTTTAAGACAGATTAAGAGATAACACAAAAGACGCATGTGCCCTCACTTTATTTCCTAATAAGATGCTATCATCAACACGATTTGTGGTGATTGACTGATAAATAAAAAGTATTTAATGCAAAATGGGTTTTTTCTTTCTAGAATGCATTATATCTGAGGACAAATTATTAATGCTAGAATACGCTATATTACAGGACGGAGGGTATCTTGCAACGGTGATGTTTGGATATTCCATTTTTACTGGATGAGTAATATTACTTTCTCACCTGCCAAAACAACTTGATTGATACGCCAAACACGAGGGTCTAATCAATTTGTCGAAAAGTCTTTTTATGTCTTTTACAGGTGTTTCAAGTTCCATATTAAAATTTATTTTTTCCCTCGATGGTTAGTATATGGTCTAACATATCCGCAACATGAGAGTCAGGTATTTTGCATTAGTAGCAACGGCCATGAATATTTATACCCTCAAATCAGTGGCCCACTTGATTAACATAAGCGCGTACAGCAGATGTGACTAATTTAGATGCGGGTTTAGAAAATCATACTTTATATTACTTCTTATAAATGGGGTTAGTGGTCTTAGAAAATATAATAGATTCGATATAACGATTATTGCTATCATTGATGACATCATTAGGGTTTGTTGAATTGATAGCCTAATGTTTTATGATTTTTTTGAGAATTTTTCTGATTTACGTCTAACAAAGATTAATATGAAGTCATTGTTTATCATTTATTTTATATAGTTGCTTATTAGTTACGTCAAAAAAAGATATCGTGTCGAAACCATATAGAGAACTAAATTAGCTTATAGCAGGTTGAATTATGTTGGTTGCAGGTTGTAGTAACTTATAAAATTAAACTTATATACAAGTTCGCAAGCTAACCCGCTTATATATCCTAACAAACAACCATAGTACACCTTGACTATTTGACGTGACGGCACGTGCCACTCGCTGTTGTTGAGTGGTACTGGTACCAGTAATCACTGTCACCAATAAATCGAGCAATAGCTACACCTCATCTGCACCTTCTTCATTTAGGTAGTGCCTTCGTCTTTCTGTTCGCCACCGCCAAATGGCGTCCCAAACTAGTTCTTGCCATACAATTTTTTTTCTCTTTACCCTCTCCATAGCAACTTTGTGAGCAAATCATCAGGCTTCTGCCAGTCGCCGGCAGCATAGACGAGGTGTTTGGTGGCAGGCGACGATGTCGTCGTCCGCGGGCGACAAGAAGAAGACGGCGTGCGTGACCGGAGGGAACGGGTATATCGCCTCAGCGCTCATCAAGATGCTGCTGGAGAAAGGCTACGCCGTCAAGACGACGGTCAGGAACCCCGGTTCGACTATAACTTGATCGTCACAAGCTGTCATGATAAAAAAAACAATTAGGGAGTCGTCTATATTTATTATATTTTGATTAAATTCAAAATCCCAGACGACATGGCCAAGAACTCCCACCTCAAGGACTTGCAGGCGCTCGGCTCCCTCACAGTCCTCCGCGGCGACCTAGACGACGAAGGCAGCTTCGACGAGGCCGTCGCCGGCTGCGACTACGCCTTCCTCGTCGCCGCACCGGTGAACATCGCGTCAGAGGATCCAGAGGTGACCAAACCAATCGTTTAGTTATTATTAGCCACGAATGATCTGGATGGAGTTGCTCGACGCCTCGACGGATGCTATTCCCACGCCAAGTAGGCCACGATCATCAATCAGCTCGCCGGTGGCTTTATTTCAGAAAGAACTGATCGAGCCTGCTGTCCGGGGGACGCTGAACGTGATGAGCTCGTGCGCGAGAGCCGGGACGGTGCGACGCGTGATCCTGACCTCGTCGTCGGCCGGCGTGTACATCAGGCCGGAGCTGCCGCAGCAGGGCGACGACGGCCACGTCGTCCTGGACGAGGGCTCCTGGTCCGACGTCGAGTACCTCAGAGCCGAGAAGACTCCACTCTGGTGGGCCTACTGCGTGTCCAAGGTGCTCCTGGAGAAGGCGGCGTGCAGGTTCGCAGAGCAGCACGGCATCAGCCTGGTCACCGTCTGCCCCGTCGTCACCGTCGGCGAGGCGCCGGCTCCGGTCGTCAACACCAGCGTCCCCGTCTGCCTCTCGTTTCTTACCGGTGAGCGATGAGGATGTGAAGTCCCTCGTTGTTGTCCCTTTGCATGCCACTCATCATCAGCTTGTTATGGGGGTTCCGGCGTGAACATGATCGGCCGGCGCGGCGGCCGTTTCGGTGTTGTTCTCTCCAGGCAACGAGGCACTGCTCGCCGCGCTCAAGGGCATCGAGAAGACCTCCGGCGGGGTGCAGCTAGTCCACGTCGACGACCTCTGCCGCGCGGAGCTGTTCGTCGCCGAGGAGGCGGCGGCCGTGGGGAGGTACATCTGCTGCAGCCTCAACACGACCGTCGTCGAGATCGCGCGATTCCTGGCACGCAAGTACCCGCAGTACGGCGTGGAAACAAATTTGCCGTAAGAATAATCGAGCCGGCCGATGCCGATCGATCTGACGTCCTCAGACCTCAGTGAATAGAGATTTTTGGTGGTTATATATTCTTATCTGAGATCTTGTTTATGAAAACAATGCAGCACCGACGACGACCAGCAGCTCCTGGAGAAGCCGAGAGTGAGCCTGTCGTCTGCGAAGCTGGTTAGGGAAGGGTTCGAGTTCAAGTACAAGACCCTGGACGAGATATACGGTGACGTCGTCGAGTACGGCAAGGCACTGGGAATTCTGCCCTACTGATATAGTGTGGATAATCTGATGTAGCCCGTTGGGATAGTCTGTTTGTAAAAAATACGTGTTGTAGTCAATATGTCTAGATCTGTGTCTATCCTAACAGGATAGTCTGTTCTAAGAAATAGTCGTTGTCAATATCTACATCTACACCTGCATCTATATCTATTCTACATCTACATCTACATAATATTAAAATAAATTTTTTTCTCTCTGTCTATTTTTTCATCCATCGGCTCATCCCACTACGCCTCACTTTTCCCCATCCTCATCTCACATTTGTTGCCACACATTTCTAATCCAAGTTCAACACAGGATCATATTCTAATCTTGCACAATCTAAATCTACCACAAAACCACGTTTCAAATAGCGCATGTCCAGCCATGATATATACAGAGTCTGATTCGAAAAATGTATTAGAACAGATGACATAATAGTTGCATAAATCTTCAATCCAAAAGTCATCCAAGTGACAGCATAACAAATTGTATGTTCTGTTGCAATGCCCAGAAATATTTGCTAGTTATTGAAAAATATGCTAGGGTTAAGTTATCGAATGGGATAGTCTACCGTGCTACCTAGCACGGGCAGAACTGCATATCGGCTTGAGACCTTTGGAGATATAGAGGTAGGGCTGGGCTACCTTATTAGGTCCATGGGCCGCCAGAGCACTCCATTAACTGCATAGGTTTCTCGGGTATCTTAGGTTGAGCTTGTAAAACCAATAGCTTAGCGTTGCTTTCTCTATGTTTATTAGATTGGTTCTAATCTAATCTGCATCAGGCACAAAGGGTGTGTTTGGTTTGAAGGATCATCAGGGATGGGATGCGATGAATCTAGTTTTACCAGTTTTTGGTTAGGTTCTGGGTGAGCGAGGGACGAGTCCATCCCCAGGTGAAATATTTCTCCCAGATCCAGCTAACCCCGCACCCCAAAATCGAGAGGACGGGTGATGCCACTTGATGGGGACGGGGTTCCCGATCTTCCGTCAGATTCAAGATAACCATCGATTTGGTCATAGAGCGAAACACCGATCCGGCTTCAGATCACAAAGACCCGAACCCTGCAACCTTAGCGCCACAACTCCTCTGGTTATCAACCGTGTCATAATCTGGTTAACATCGCCGAGAAGGCTAATCCCTATTGTGAATCGAAGAATACAAGCAAGAACAAGATAAAATGCAACTCAAGTAAAGTGACAATTTGCAGATGTATGATTAAGATCTCAACGGGGGTTTCACAAACCGATAATGACGACTGCTCAAAGACAGATTACTCTAAAGCAAAACCCAATCCCTAACGTAGGCGACGGCTACTGATTATGTAGCCTAAAGGGCGTCCAAGGACCCCTCTTCAAGTCCATAAGCTGTCCCAACACGTTACAAGGCCCAACGGCCCAAATGACGGCGATGCAGCGCCGTGACAGATTTTGGACATCAACTTGTTTCAACGATTCCCGTTGATTATGATAGAATTTTGATGTGGGACCACTTCCATTAGTTACCTTATCAAATTATCCTTCCATACATATGTGGATCGTCGAAAACGGAGTACGTGTGTAACCTGGGCGTCCCATTTTACTACACGCTGCTCCTAGAGCCCGAGATGGATGTGAACATGACTTTGATTGGGCCTTCAACTTGGCTTGGACGCCCTTGCTTGCCTCCTAAGGTGGTGGCCAAGGAGGAGGACGTCCTTGGACATCTCTTCTGTGTTCTCCATCTTCTTGGGGCATGCTCCAACTTAGGCCTGGGTCCCATGTGTGAATAACAATCCCACGATGACGTCGTAGCACCCGATAGAAACAGTGGCACAATATCTTGATGATTGGAAGACCTTCCCGACGTGATATTGAGGTGGCACCAGGACTATTTGAAAGCTTATCAAATAATCTTTTCATCAAGTGTTCATTGACCTCAATCGCACTCTGGATGGATGAGTTATGACCTTCGCAATGAAGCACTGTCGGTCTGCCGACGAACCGAATGTTGGACTTTGATGAGCTTGCACTCCAAGATCGATCTTGTTCATGACATATCCATACTCTATCATCATTGCCATCGTTTCTAAGCACATTTGAAATACCGATATAAGGTAGTAACAAATTCTTAGTTTTATCATTATACAAACATAGGAACAAGCTCACATTGTCTTTAACTTTCATGGGCTGTATACATAGGTGTCATGTCCTCATCAACGGGGTTATCCCAAATCAGTGTCATCACTTCTTCATCTTATGCCCTTCTTCTTCCTCGAGCTAGAGGGCACAACCTGTTTCATCGAGCTCCCGGCTATGTCGTCTTCTTCATCGAGCTCCCGACGACACAGTGGTACCTCCTACTCAGATGGGGAGGTCAGGCGGGCGACCATTGGTGCAGTGCAGGCGACACTAGGGTGCTCCTAACTAAGGGTGGCGCGAGTTGCGGCAATGGCAGCCCGGCCGAGGGCGGCATGACTCGTGGCAATGGCGGCTGGGCTGAGTAGGGCGCAGCCACCCCTTGGGGCAAAGGCGACAAGGCCCACAAGGCCTGAGTAGTGCCAACGCGGGACAAAGATGACTCGATGCACATGGTGCTCGTGGCAGCGGTGTGATGGCTCGGTGGAGCCGATGTGGCGAGGGAGAGAGAGGAAGGGAGAAGGTGTGGTCATTGGCTGACATGTGGGGCCCCCTTGACTAACAGTTATTGATGGTGTAGAAAACACCATCCATCCCATGAGTTTCATGCTTCCAACCAAATAATAAAATGGGACGATCCCATCCCCTTTTCAACCAAACAAGAGCTGAGACAGTCCCATCCTAAAAGCTAGGGACAGATTCATTCCATGGCACGTTGTCTCCATACCAAACACATGTGAACACGACAGCTCCATCTGAACTGTGTACAAGTTAGACATTGATTTTGCTCAAAAGGGGGGAGAAAAGTCCACAACGAATCAATAACATCTACCCTTTTTACCTCATTATATGTTTTTATTTTTATTGTTATGTAAGCTCAATTTGAGTCTGTGGTTTTTTCTGTCATATAAAAGATGTAACCTCAATTATTTTTTGCTAGCACATATCTAAACCTACAATGGACTAATTTCGCATTTCCTTGTATGTGTGGAAACCATGACAAAGTAAAAGAAATAGTATCAAAAAATAAAATTGTTTCCTTGGGCTTGACTAGGAGGCTAAATGGTCAACAAGAAAACCCTTACTTTAAAGGCATCGATTTTAAACATTTGGCCCATTGAAGCAACATCAGTCATATATCACCGCTGGTGAAAAAGAATAAAGGATTAAAGGAGCAACTGGCTCCCAAGCAAAATGACTATGGCAATACTGGCACCGCACCACAACCGGAGCTCTCTATGAATGCCATTATGAGTTTATGACCCTCTAAGTTTCAAAAAAGAGAGTTTATGACCCTCTAGGCTTACGGCCCAAAGGTGTTGCAAGTTCTTGCTCTGACAAGAGGTTCAGAGTCTTGCTCATAACCTTTCCATAGTCCTTAATGCCCGTCACTTTTGAATATAGCACCAATCCGAGAATTGACCCGCCGGTGAAGACTCCCTCTTGAATTGCCAACGGTTGAAGCCTTTGCGTGCGAACTGGACACCTACCAACCGGTCAAGCGTTCCCTCACAAAAACCAACCGGTCAAGCGCAACCTACTGAAGTGTGCACTGTGTACGTACTCCATGATAAAATGCAGGCTAGCTCCCGTGTCCAGACAGTCACAGCTAGCCATCAGCAAACAGAACTCACTGCTGCATGCAATCCTAAAAAAAAAAAAAAAAAAAAAAAAGTGGGCGAGTTCTCATTTTCTCCTTCGCCAGGCGGAAGAGGAGGTGATCGGCGATGTCAGGGGGTGGCAGGAAGAAGACGGCGTGCGTGACCGGAGGTAACGGGTACATCGCCTCGGTGCTCATCAAGATGCTGCTCGAGAAAGGCTACGCCGTGAAGACGACGGTCAGGAACCCCGGTTCGTTCCGTTCTTCCCTAGCTAGTTTCCACACTTGAGCGTGAACAGTTGCAGTTTGTTGTGATCCCGGCCGTGACAAAACGGGATAAGAATTGTTGACAGTGTCTGATCGTTTATGCTCTGAAGTCTGAACGTGCATGTGTATTATTGTGATTCTGAATCCCAGACGACATGGCCAAGAACTCCCACCTCAAGGACTTGCAGGCGGTCGGCCCCCTGACAGTCCTCCGCGCCGACCTGCTAGAAGAAGGCAGCTTCGACGAGGCCATCGCCGGCAGCGACTACGTCTTCCTCGTCGCCGCTCCGGTGAACCTCCATTCGAAGAATCCTGAGGTGCGCAAACGTCACCACTACCTACTTGTGAGCACCACCCGTAACGTCATTTTCACCTGCTCCTTTGCTCAAATGTGGTGGTGGTGACTGATGGCAGAAAGAACTGATCGAGCCTGCTGTCCGAGGAATCCTGAACGTCATGAGGTCGTGTGCCAAGGCAGGGACAGTGAAGCGCGTGATTCTGACCTCGTCGGCGGCTGCAGTCGTCGGCAGGCCGTTGCAAGGCGGCGGGCACGTTCTGGACGAGGAGTCCTGGACCGACGTCGAGTACCTCACTGCCAACAAGTCCAGTCACTGGGTAATATAGTAACACACATAAATAAATGTCCTGTCCCCGTTCTCGTTCGAATCGGAAGAATGGCATGCTGATGACGAGCATGGCACCATGTGCTTGCATCGCAGGGGTACAGGGGTCTCCAAGGTGCTCGCGGAGAAGGAGGCGTGCAGGTTTGCGGAGGAGCACAGCATCAGCCTCGTCAGCGTCTGCCCCGTTCTCACCGTCGGCGCAGCACCTGCCACAAAGATGGACACGACCCTCCACGCTAGCCTCTCCCTGCTATCCGGTTGCTTCCAAATTCCCGTGTGGCCTGCTACATACATATCCGGTTGCTTTGCACACTACACTACTACAGTGCATGTCATGAGTCATGTCATGGTTCACCGAAATTTGCAGGCGACCAAGCAGCGTTCCGCGTGCTGAGAGGAATCGAGATGGCCACGGGCTGCGTGCCGCTGGTTCACGCCGCCGACCTGTGCCGTGCTCAGATGTTGTTCGTCGCCGAGGAGGACGCGGCCGCCGGGCGGTACATCTGCTGCAGCGTCAACACCACCATCGTCGAGCTCGCTCGTTTCCTGGCGGACAAGTACCCGCAGTACACCGTGAAGACAGATCTGCTGTAAGAATCGGCCGGCTTTCACGTAAAGCTCTGGATTCTGGAGCATATTTTGCACGGGACAGATCAGTGACCGAATGCTCGCGCTTTGCAGCTCCTCGGGCGGGGTCCTTCAGAAGCCGAGAGTGAGCCTGTCGTCGGCGAGGCTGCTCAGCGAAGGGTTCGAGTTCAAGTACGAGACGCTGGACGAGATCTACGACGACGTGGTGGAGCAGGGCAAGGCCCAGGGGATTCTGCCCAACTGATACTTTCTTTGCATTGGCTTCCGTCCATAACCAGCTGAAGCGATCGAGAGCACCAAATAAAATAGCAATGAAGTTGGGAAATAAATAAATTTGTTCTATCTCTATGCATACAGCATACGGTAGCTGAACTGGAGAGGTTCGGTCAGTTTGTGTGAAAGTGGGCTCTGTGGGTTTCAGTGCTCCTACAAAATATCTATATCTATATCTATATATCTTTTTTTTCTATTAAAAAGGCAAAATTTCTCTGCTCCAAATCTTCGTCCTGCACCATCCACTGTTACTCCTACAAATGCGAGTATCAGAGTCTAACCTGAATTCCATATGTCCTGCACTTCACGTGTTCAACACACCAATTACATATTACCATGGCCTGTACTTTACATGTTCAAGACCAATTCCTGGAAGAACTGCCGGCATGCAGGACCCAGTCCAACTCAAAGGCGTCAATACAAAATAGAATAGAACTAGGTAGGACACGAGTTCTATTAAACAAGTGTTACTATTTGTATAAAAAAAGTAAAAAAGCAAGATAATAATACTATAACACTAAGAAATGAATTCTAATAGGGTACAGATTCTTTTCCGAATACAACTAAGAAATGAATTCTAATAGGGTACAGATTCTTTTCCGAATACAACTACGTTCATCTTCAATACTCATAACGACAGGATTTTACAGAAAGAAAAAACACATTGCCAGCAGGGTTCCAGATTTGAGAGCAGAAAGCCATCGGCTCCAAAAACCAAGCAATTAGAAGGCAAGACATGGCACACTCTGGCAAGACAGACGGCAAGACAAGGCACGCTCTTCCGTTCCCATCCTCGCACGCTCTTTGGTTGGAGGTCGGGGCGACTTGCTTGGGAAAAATCACTACCGAAAACGTTAAATTTGTCGAGTATTTTTATATTTGCCGAGTGTATTCTCTCGGGCACTCGGCAAACAAGTTCTTTGTCGAGTGCTGCGCTAAAAACACTCGGCGAAAAAAAAAACACTCGGCAAAAAGGAGGTTTGCCAAGTGTCAAAAACAAAACACTCGACAAAGAGGAGGTTTGCCGAGTGTTTTCTTTTTTGCACTCGGCAAATAAAAAAAAATTCTGGGAAAGAAGGAGAAGAAAAAAATAAAAAAAAACTTTACCGAGTGCTCAGATCTAGGACACTCGGCAAAGGGAAAAAACTACTTACTGTGTAAAAAAGAGGTAGGAAAAAAAATTAAAAAAACAATCTTTGCCGAGTGGCTCACATCCGGCACTCCGCAAAGCAAAACTCCTATAACCCGGCCGCACCCACGCGCCCCCCTACCCTTCTCCACTCCACGCGCCGCGCCCCCCGCCCCCTCCCCTTCTCCCCGTCGGCGGCCCCTCCCCTCCCGGCCGGATCCGGCGCGGCGGCCGCCCTCCTTCCCCAGCCGCCGCCTCTCCCTTCTCCCGGCGCCGCCCTCCCTCCTTCCCAGATCCGTGGTGGCCTCCCCTCTGGATCGGCGGCGGCCCGGCGGTCGCCCCTCCCCTCTCCCGGATCCAGCGGGTGGCGTGACGGCGGGTGGCGTGCGGCATGGCGGGCGGCTCCACTCCTTCCCCAGATCCGGCAGCAGCCCCTCGCCCCTCGAATCCGGCGGCCGCCCCTCCCCTCTCTCGGATCCGGCGGGTGGCGTGGCGGCGGGTGGCGTGGTGGCGGGCGGCGTCCGGCGTGGGGCGGCAACGGGCGTGGCGGCGTGGTGGGCGGCGGCCGGTGGCAATTTGTTTTTTTTTTATTTCTTGCGAAAAATGTTTGCCGAGTGTTTTTTTTGGCACTCGGCAACGTCTTTGCCGAGTGCCCGACAGAAAACACTCGGCAAAGTTAGTTTGCCGATGAAATTTTTGCCGAGTGCCCTTTACCGAGTGTTACACACGGCAAAGAGTTCGCCGAGTGTATTCATGCCTTTGCCCGGTTCCTGGTAGTGAATGTTGCCCGGGAGTTATCTGAAAAGTTGATGATTTTTGCCTTTCCAAACAAGTCTAGAGAATATCCGTTTGGTTGAAGGCGTGTGCCCTGAAACACCAACAGGGAATATGTATAGTATTACGTGTGGAGTTCTGCTCCGGTGGTTCTCTTTAAATAGTTTGCACGGATCTTAAAGCAGTAGGTTGATTAATTATAATTAATTTCGTCTAGTATCTGAATTGAGTCGGCTCTATCCGTGCCCAAAGGAAGCCCAGCCCTTCGCGTACCAGAGCCCAGATTCACGCAGTCAGTCGGTCACGCGACTCCGGTCATTTGTCGTAGGAACGGGAGGGCGGACGTCGGATGGCCGCGGCGCCGGTGGTCGGACGTTCGCGGCACGAGTGGTCGAACGGCCTTCCGTGCCTCGCATCCCCCGCTCTGTCGCTTGGTCTCGTGGTGCTGGTGAATGGTGGCGGTAGACAGAGCTAACGATGACGGCGGCACGGTCCGCCGTCGCCATCCGCACGCTAGTGTGGGAATGCAGTGCAGGGAAGGCGCCTAGATCGTTCATGCTGCCGTCCGCCCTATGCCGCCGTCCGCTCTATGGAGAAGGCAGGTTTGTAGCAGAAATGCCCGGCTACGCGATAACGGGAGATGAGAGATCGTGAGGAATCTGGGCTGTAGTACGCTGGGGCTGGGTTTTTCTTTGGGCACAATTGGACCGGACCAATCCGGATCCAAAAATTTAATTATAATTAATCACCCTGGTGCTTTAAGATTCATGCAATTTTGTAAAAAAGGACCACCGGAGCAAAACTCGCGTGGTGTGTACTTATGGTGTATGATAAACATACACTTTTATAGTTTGACTCTAACAAATAGATGATCTAGATTAGTGTTATTTTCCCTTGTCTTAGAGACTAATAAGTAACAGCGACAAAGTATTTGTTAAAAAAAATTATCCGTTCACGGACATCAAGCAACTAACAACCATGACAAGAAAAAGGCCGTGCAATTTTATGAGTAGTAGGAACCAGACAAAAGAAACAATAAAGACGGTAGAGACAAAAAAAAACTAACATGAGCTACGTGTCCTTTTCCACCCATCAATCTACTGATCAGAGCAATTAGCCCAGGCAAGTACCGGCGCTCGAGCCATGCGCTCGATTTCAGTCGCCTGGACATCGACGCGCTTGCCTGCTGGTACAAGCAGCTACTCAGGGCACTAACCAAACATACACGAGGCAAGGTGCTGGCAAGGTCCAGACTATAGTTGGCCAACGGGCCGGGCCGGCCCGGCCCGTCCCGTAGGTGGTCGTGCAGGCACGGCACGCCGTGCCCCTCCGGGCGTCGTGCCTGGCCTTCGGCCCAAGCACGGCCCTACGGGCCGAAATTCGTGCCGTGCTGGCCCGGGAAGCGCGGCCAGAACTGCAGGCCGGGCCGGCCCAAAGCCCGGTGATCGTAAGTCACCTCAAAATTCTTCTCATCCAACAGTTAGCGTAGATTCATTCATTCAAATTTCAAAATCTCAACTCACAAGTCAAGAACTTCTAAGTCACAAACTGTCAAACTGATCACAAATTCTTCTCAGATTCTAACCAGAGCCCGGTG